CCATCTCCTCAAACAGGGAGGGGAAAACACCTCACTGGTCTTCTCCTACACTGAGTAGGAAGGATGGCTCATCATAGTAAAAAGCTTTGTACTTCTTCCGCCTAGCATTCAGACATTCAACCCAGAGAAAAGTCTGATTGGTTCTGCATCCAGACATTCATCCCAGGGAAAGATTTGATTGGTTCTGCACCCAGATATTCATCCCAGAGAAAGATCTGATTGGTTCTGTATCTAGACACTCATCCCAGGGAAAAGTCTGATTGGTTCTTCTTGGGTTCTGGTCCCACCCATTGCACCAATCACTGTTGCTGGAAGATGGAGGTCTATGATTGGTGCTATCTGGGTCTTAAACCTACCTGATGGCAATAGATAGGGATGGTTGGGTACAGACACATACAGCCGTCTGTGAGCGAGGGGGTACATTCACAGCCTCCAAAGCTCATGCACTTCCATGGAGCCATTAATAAGAACTGACAGCAGCTGTCATCCATGAAGCACCAACCAGGGACCAAGCCCTGGGCCAAGTGCTTTCATGTGCATTATCTAATTTTATGCTCTCTCTGGAAAGCAGGTACCACTAGCATTCCTCTTTCTCTAAATCCAAAAGATAGTAGAAAATAGATATTTTTTGGGGGGGGGGGGAAGAGTGCCAATTCAGAATACCATAAAAATGCTTATGGGCCCCTCTTCACTGCTCAGAGAGGTTAAGTGACTTGCTCAAGGTCACACGGCTAGCACATTAAAAGTACATGCTGGGCAAGTATTTGGTGAAGAGCCAAAGGAGTATTTCCAGTTCTGTCTGTCTATAAGGCTGCAGGAGTAGGGAAGACAGCCTAGTGGTAGTATGGGGAGGGAGGGGTTCCTGAAAGATGGAACATTTAGGCTGGTGACTAGAGAGGTTTAGGGCAAAGGGAGAGAACAAGTCCATCCCTACTCCAGAAGACGAGGCGGAGTACCCTTAGAGCCTGTGTTTTCCTTCAGCCTTTGGGAGCCCTTGGGAAATTGACTATCAAGATTCATGCTGGGCACTGGTGGTTCATACTTGTCATCCTAGCTACTCAGGAGGCTGAGATCTGAGGATCATCATTTTTTAAAGCCAGCCTGGACAGGAAAGTCCATGAGACTCTTATCTCCAACGAACCAGCAAAAAGCCAGAAGTGGAGCTGTGGCTCATCTGAGTGGTAGGACAAAAAGCTCAGGACCGTGCCCAGGTCCTGAGTTCAAGCCCCAGTGCTGGCACAATCATTAATTGATTCACTAATAAAAATTAAATAAAAACAGCAACAGCCAGGTGCTGGTGGCTCACACCTGTCATCCTAGCTACTCAGGGAGCTGAGAGCTGAGGATCACAGTTCAAAGCCAGCCCAGGCAGGAAAGCTGGTGAGGCTTTTATCTCCAATAAACTACCAGAAAACCGGAGGTGGCGCTGTGGTTCAAGTGGTATAGAGCTAGCCTTGAGCTAAAGAGCTAAGGGACAGCGCCCAGGCCCAGAGTTCAAGCCCCACGACTGAAAAAACAAACAAACAAAAACAGGAACACACACATCACAAGATGTAAAACACCATCGTTAAAACCACCCTCCTGCTCTAGCTGGGATTCCTAGATTTACCCGGCTTCAAGCTTTCTCCAGATCAGCATCATTGCAGACCCATCCTGTCTTCCATTCCCACAGACTTTGAACAACCACCCACCCAGCTTCACAAGCTGTAAGGTAGAGCTTTGGGCCTTGCCCCCAGGCCCTCCAAGTTCAAAGCCTTCCAAGTGCTTTCTCTCTGCAGCTGCCCCCGACCCTGCCTCCTGTATGCCCCACCTCCCTGATCTGGTCAGTAGGGTCTACCTGAGGCCTAACCCCCCGCCGGGACCCTAACCCACCATCCACAGCGTGGGGAGGGCGGCTCCAGAGAGGGCATGCTCAAATCCAAGCTCCCAGAGGGTTCTCCATCTCTGACCTTTCTTTTTTTTTTTTGGGGGGGGGGGGTCCGGTTGTGGAGCTTGAACTCTGGGCCTGGGCGCTGTCCCTCAGCTCTTCAGCTCAAGGCTAGCGCTCTACCACTTGAGCCACAGCACCACTTCCGGCTTATGCGGTGCTGAGGAATCGAACCCAGGGCCTCAGGCACGAAAGGCAAGCGCTCTACCACTGAGCCACCTTCCCAGCCCATCTCTGACCTTTCTTCCCACTTGGAATGCTACCCCCTCCCTCACCTGGACAGTTAGTTACCTGGGTACTCCTACTTCTTCTTTGGGATTCTGTCCTGTGTGTGCACGTGTGTGCATGGTGTGTGTGTGTGTGTGTGTGTGTGGTGTGCAAATGCGTGTCTTGGGGTTTGAACTGGGTGCTGTCCCTAAGCTTTTGTGCTGGGGACTAGCGCTCTACCACTCAAGCCACAGCTCCATTCCCAGCTTTTTTGCTCATGAATTGGAGATAAAGACTCTCACACAAGACTTTCCTGCGTGGAGCTGGCCTCGAACCGCCATTCCTCAGATCTCAGCCTCTTGAGTAAAGATTCAGTCTTTTGGAGAATCTGCCAGGCCCGGGTCTTGCTCCTGCCACTCCATCCACTCTGTGTCCCCTCCCTAAGCCCCTGGGGACCCAGCACCCAGGGGGTCCCGGGTGCGAAGAACAGGGGTGGAAGTATTGGGACCCCTGGAGCTTGGCACGCGGCAGGGGCCCCTCGGAAAGTTCCCCGTTTTCCGCCTTCTCCGATATCCTTGATTGAGGGGAACGGGAGGGGGGGGGACTCCCGGGGGACCCGCAGTGGGGGAGCCGGAGCCGGGGGGTGGGGGGTCTGGAGTTCTCCAGGCCCCGGGTGCACCCCCCTCCCCGCGCCCCGGCCGACGGACGCTCTGCACCCCTGCGCCCCGGCCTCCCCGGGGGGGGGGGGTGCGGCGGTGGCGAGACCCCGGCCCAGCCCGGCCCGGCCCGGCCCCCGGCGCGGGGAGGCGCGTGTCGCTTTAAAAGCTCGCTCCCGGCGCGCCGGGCCGCCCTTCCCTGCCGGCGCGGGGCGCGGCGCCCGGCGAGCCCGGGGCCTGGAGCAGCCTGCGCCCGCCGGGGCGGCCGGAGCGGCGGGCGGGGGGGGGTGGGTGGGGAGGGGACGGCGCTCGGGGACGGGCCCGGGCCCGCGGAGCCGGCGACCGAGGAGGCCCAGCCCCGACCCGGGAGCGATCGGGCGCGGGGCGGGGGGGAGCGCGCGAGGCCCGGGCCTGAGCGCGCGCAGGCGGGGCGGCGGAGGCGGCGCCCGAGCCCGGTGGCTTCCCCTCGCGGTGCTCCCATCCCGGTGCTCCCATCCCCCCGCCCCCCCGTGCGCCCATCCCGGGGCGCCCGTCCCGCTTCGTCCAGCCCCGTGCGCCCCCGTCCCGCGCGCCCCGGCCCGGCCCGGCCCCGCGCCGCCTCTCCCGGCTCCTCCGCGCCGATCCTAGCCGGGCCGGGAGCTCCGATCCCCGCCGCCGCCCCCGGGGCCTCGGCGATCGCGGCCCGGGCGCAGCGAGGTCTCCGCGGCCGGTAGCGGGGCCGCGCTGAGCGCATCGCCGCGGCGCCCGGGTCCCGCGGAGCGGTGCCGGCTCGCCCAGGGCCGGGCCGGGCCACCGCGGGCAGAGCCCGGCCTCCCCGCGGGTCCCGGCCGGCGCCCAGCCCGGGGCGGGGGTGAGGGGGGGGGGTCCCCGGCGCCCCGAGACTTTGGCTCCCGCGCCGGGACCGAGCGGCCGGCCCCGCCTCGGCCGCCCCGCGCCCGGGTCACCTGTGGCCCCGCGGACCCTCGCCCACCTCCACCAGAGCCGGGCAGGGGTCGCGGGAGACCCCCCCCGCAGCCCCCAGCCCCAGGGCGCCCAGGCCCCCGCCCCCCCCGATGCCGCCGGTCGCCGCCCCGAGGTCCACCCCGAGGCCCGGGGCCGCGGGGTCCGGAGAGCGGAGCCCCGCTTAGGGAGCCTTGGGGGCTCCCCATCCCGTCTCGGGGCTGGGCCCCGGGGGCGCTGCTTGGAGGCCCGGCCGGTGAGTCCGAGGGAATTGGGGAGGCGGGGTGGGGGGGTGCTTGGGAGGGAGGGGTGGTGGGAAGCGGGGTCCGGGTGGGGGGTGGGGGTCTCCGGGAAGCCCCCTCCCCCGGGACCAGAGAGGCCCAGGCGTGACTCCAGGGGTGGGGGTGGGGTGAGGGAAACGGGGGGGGGGGCTGGCCCACCCCCAGAGGAGGCAGGGGGCTTCTGCCTCTTCAGTAGGGGCTCCCCCCCCCCACACACACTTTAGAACACCACCCGGCTGCCTGCCCCTCTCCCTCCCTCCCTCTCCCCACCAGGAAATAAAATATAATAATAATAAATCCCCAGCGGGGAAGGAAGGGTGCAGGGGGAGGGAGGGAGGGAGGGAGGGAGGCCGGGCAGCTGGAGAGGGCTGAGGCCAGGCTCTGCTCTCTCTGCAGGGGTCTGCGATCCTCCCATCCGGCTCCTTTCCCCACATCTGGAGACCCCCACCCCACCTCTGGAAGACACCCCTCTTCCCCCTGCCACCCCCATACCCCAGGACCCTTCCTGCAGCCCCCCTTCCCCCGGGAACTCTGCAGCTACCCAGGAGTTGTGAGGGGCCTGCCAACCGCTGCCTTCCCCCCTTCCCCACCCCCACCCCAAGGGCGTCCGTCCTCCGCCCTCCCTGCCTGCCTCCAGTCCAGGCCCAGGCAAGAGATCAGAGACTCTGCACACCCACCGGGCAGCTTCAAGTCCTGGAGGCCCCTGCTGGGACCCAAGGCCTCTCTCCCTGCCTTCCTGTGGCCGGGCTTTGACCACCCCCCTCCCACCTCTGTCAGACACTGGGTCTTGCTCTGAGTACTCCAGGGCTCTGCAGAGCAGGTGGGGAGGGGCAGAGGGGCAGGGGCTGGGTGAGAACCGCCCAGGACCAGGGGTGGGCTGGGGGGCCGTTAAGATGAGCTCTGCCCGGCCCAGAGGGGCTCCGTGGAGGCAGACGCATCGTGTGCCCGGCTGGGGGAAGTATGGGCAGGCCTGCGGCCACGTGGTGAAGGATGAACAGTCGGGGTACCCCGGATCTCGGGCAGCCTAGCGACGACCCAAACGGTGGTGAGCGAGAGCGGATCCGACAGCGCATGAAGATGGTGATTGGACAGCTGGAAGACATCCTGCGGGAACTCAAGGAGGTGGCCAAGGAGCTCAGGGAGGTGAGCCAGGGGGTGATGCGCGCACACACCCCAGATCCTTGTGTACACGTGTGTTTGGGGGAGTGCGGGGCTGTGGGCGCACGTGTCACGCTGCTGGGGACCTCTTGGCGCTTCATTCTCTTTCCTCAAACCTACTTTGAGGTTCAAGACCGAGAGGCATCAGTGGCAGCCATGGGTCCAGCTCGGTGCCTAGCGTTCAGGCTGTCTGGGCAGATCATAACTGAGCTCAGTAGTCTCCATCTAGTAAATCAGTCCACGCTGCTCAGAGACCCAGCTCAAAGCATTTGCCCCCCAGAGATCACACACTCTGAACCCTTGATCTGGGAAAATGGGTTCAGTTGTGCTTTCCGGGTTGAGGTAGAAGTAAAGGCCAGATGCCTATGGCTCACACCTGTAATCCCAGCTACTCCAGGGGCTGAGATCTAAGGCTCACTGTTGCCAGCCAGTCCTGGATGAAAAATTGGTGAGGCATTTCTCTCCAGTTAACCAGCAAAAAGCCAGAAGTAGAGCTGTGACTCAAGTGGTAGAGTATCACCCTTGGGGGGGTGGGAAGCTAAGGAACAGTGTTCAGGCCCTGAGTTCAAATTTGAACACTGGCACACACAGGAAGGAAGGAAGGAAGGAAGGAAGGAAGGAGCTTGCTATAGGCTATAGGTATCAGGGTTTCTCATGTGCCTTGGCAGGAACAGGAATCTTCTAGAAGGGGCTGAGACTCCCTCTCACAGAGCCTGAATGCTTCTGATAAGGCTGAGAAGCCACTGAGAACTGCAGGAATACGTGTGTGCCCCCCACCCCACCCCCAAGTGGAGCCTGGTTCAATTACTGTTCCCTACATCACTGGGGTAATGAGATACTATGTCCTCCACCCTGCCCCCTGGGCTGTGTTCAAGCCCAAAATGCATGACCAGTGTTCTGAGCCGCTGGCCTGAATTTGCCCGCTGGGTACCATTACACACCAGCCAGGTGGGCTTTAGGCAAACTTCAACTCCTTGTAACCAGGGCCCCTGCGGAGATGGCAGAAGGAGAGTGATTGAGCCAGTTACAGCCTTGAGCCTTCCCTAGCCAGCTGTGTAGGGCAACCATGGTGGTAAGGGGACTGCAGAAGTCTTAGCATGTCAGTGGGTGCCAACTGCAGCCTGGCCCAAGAGCCAAGGAACAGGGGTTGTTTGGAGAGAGCTATGTTCAGGAGGAGGCCGGCAGGGCAGAAAGGCCAGGATAAGGCTAAGCACTGGTGCTCATGCCTGTAATCCTAGCTCCTCAGGAGGCCGCGATCGGAAGATCGCCATTGGAAGCCAGTGTGAGCAGGAAAGTCTGTGAGACTCTTATCTCCAATAAGCTAACAAGCACAACACCAAAAGCCCGAAGTAGAGCTTGCAGCTCAAGTGGTAGAGTGTTAGCTATCCTTAAGCACAAAAACTCAGGCCCTGAGTTCAAGCCCCAGGACTGGCACACGCACAAAAAAAAGGTAGATAGGAGGCGGTGGTGCTTTTGCCTATAGATTGAACTGTACACTGTCTGGGCTGAACATCTGTGGGCAGTATAATTCAGAAGTCAAAGGCTCCTGGAAACTTCTCTTCCTCCAGCCTCACAGATTCACTGTAATCCCCCACCCCCTCCACCATCTTGTTCAAATGTTATGTACTGGTATTGGGGCCATAGAACTTTCCAGAGGTTCTATCCCAAATCTCTGAGTTCCCATGGCCTGGCAGGCCTATGTAGGCAGAGAGTCAGCCTTGCTACAAACAGAGCTCACTCCTGACAAGTTACCCAGGCCTCCTCCTCTAATGCTCCAAGGCTCTCCTGGGTAATCCAGCCCAGCCTTGTCCTCATACTGTTGGAGAAACTGAGGCTCAGAAAGGGCTAGGGGTTTGTTCAAGGTCATACAGCCTACCAGGGGCAGAAGGAAGCCTAGAACTCAAGGTCTTGGAGCCAACTCTGGGTTGTAGCAGGTGGTGCTCCTGGGCAGTATCTGTGCCTTGTTTTGATGTGTGTGTGTGTGTGTGTGTGTGTGTGTGTGTGTGTGTTGGGGCATGAGCTCAGGGCCTGGGCACTGGTCTTTAACTTTTTCACTCCAAGTTAGCGCTCTACTACTTGAGCTGTGCCTCCTCCACTTCTGGAGATTTTCTGGTTACTCTAGTGGGTTATTAAGAGTCTTGTGGACTTTTCCTGTCCCAGCTGGCTTCAAGCTGTGATTCTCAGATCTCAGCCTCCTGAGTAGCTGGGATACAGGCGTGAGCCACTGGTGCCCCCCTGGCCAGTCTCTCTCCTTTCTTTCTTTCTTTTTTTTTTTTTTGGCCAGTCCTGGGGCTTGAACTCAGGACCTGAGCACTGTCCCTCAAGGTTAGCATTCTGTGTATGTGGCACCGAGGAATCGAACCCAGGGCTTCATGCTTGCTAGGCAAGCACATTACCACTAAGCCACATTCCCAGCCCTCCCACCATTTTTGAAAGAGTGGCTCTGTAGGTGGGTGCCAGGACGCTGGCATTCATTCCCAGGGGTGTTCCGATGTCCCCTTTGACACTCATCCCCTTTTCTGTCTCCCCTCAACCCAGCTTCAGGTCAGAAGCTGTGCCTGAACCAATCCCTCTCCTCCCTCCCCCCCTTACCCCCCTTAGGCCGGGTGTCTCCACCCAAGCCTGGCAGGTTGCTATAGTAACCAGAGTCTACCCCGTATGCCAGTGCCTGTCAGCTGCCTATGGCACCCAGCTGAGAAGAGAGGGCAAGTCTCCGAGTTCCCCTCAGGCCCCAGGCAGGGGTTTGCAGACAGAGGGGCGATGATCAGAGGGGAGTCAGGAGAAGGCAGGTGAAATGGGGGAGCCCAAGACGGGGGGGGGGGGGGGAGTAGAATGGGTCCGAAATGGAGAGGAAGCAAGTACTGTCCCCTGGTTACACCCACTCCTGGAGAGCACCTGTTTAGTCCCTTACTGGCTCTTGGGAAGGCAAAGTGCTTGGGAGTGGAAGCTAGATCCCCAGAAAAAAAAAGCTACTGCAGGACTGCCCAGGTCTTGACCAAGGTAGCCAGGAGGGAGGGCTCCATGCTGATAGTCTCCTTCCCCTTCAACATCTCCCTCCCCACACACACACCCGCCCACTTTCTAGTGGTTAATTGGAGTTAAGAGTCTCATGGACTTTCATGTCTGGGTTGGCTTTGAACTTCTATCTTCAGATCTCAGCCTCCTTGTACAGCTAGGATTACAGGCCTGATCCCCTGTGCCCAGTATGGTTTTGTTTGTGTTGTGGTGCTGGGGATTACTAGGGTTACCCTAGGATTGGGGAAAGGGGGGACACAGAGTGACCAGATGGGGTCTCTCTGCGAAGGTGGCTTTTGAATGGAGGCTGACAGGAAGAGAGGCGTAAAATCTCTGAGCACTGCAGGCTGTGGGAGCTGTGATGCTGTTGGGGGTCTTAGGGTTGAAGGGTGTAGGTCAAGTTCAAGATCAGCCAGGAGGCCAGGGCAGGAGAGAAAGCACAGGAGCAAAGGTTGAAGGTCAAAGAGACTAAGGTGAGGGTCCCAGACAGCATGTTCAATTACTCTCCCTGAGAAGCCCAGGCCCTCTCCCCCAATCCAGGAATCCCCTTGGCTGTGTTTCTGGAAGAGGGGGAGTGAGCCCCCCACCCACAGCTTCTTCTGGGATCCACCAACCTACTGCCCTTAGTCCTTAGCTCAGAGTTTGAGCTCATCATGAGCAGATCTGTGCCCTTCTCATCCTCGGGTCCTTGGCCGGGAGCTGGTGGCTCCCACTGCAATCCCAGCTGCTCAGGAGGCTGAGATCTGAGGATCGCCATCTGCAGTCTTGTGAGACTCCTATCTTCAGTGAACCAACAAAAAAGCCAGAAGTGGAGCTGTGGTTCAAGCGGTAGAGCACCAGCCTTGAGTGTAAAAGCCAGGCTTTGAGTTCAAGGTCCCAGTACTGGCACACACACACACACACACACACACACGCATCTGTGTGACTCACAAGTCAGGGGCACAGTGGTGGGGAAGAAGGCAGCAGGGGCCATGCCTCTGTCTGATTTTCCTGGGCAGTAGGCCGTGCACAGCGGCCTGTCTCCCTGGCTGTCCAGTCTTAGGGTCCCGTTGGCCCGTGTGACAGGTGCAGGGAAGGCCACAGGCCTGGCGAAGGACAGATGAAGTGTGGCAAGCCAGGACGCAACTGGGGCAGGAGAGGCTGGGGACCCAGGGCTGTGCCAAAGTGGGTCAGCGCCATCACCTGCGGCTCCACACGGACGGTGCAGACTTTTCATGGTGTGTGTGTGTGTGTGTGTGTGTGTGTGTGTGTGTGTGTGTGTGTGTGTGTGTGTGTGTGTGTGTGTGTGTGTGTGTGTGTGTGTGTGTGGTTTCCCTTCACACTCTCCTCTCTTCCCTTCTTGCTTCGCTTTCCACCGGACCGATTCACCTAGGCTCCTCAGGCTAATGAGGTCAAATGACAAGAGGAGAATTGTGACTCATGATCTGCTCCCTTCCCTTGCTCCCCAGATCCACAGCCGCCCGTCCCCTCCCCTCCCTCCCCCTCCCCCAGGAAGATAATAAACAACGTAATCACAGAATTAAAAAATAATCAGCGGTCATAAATAATGCAGAATCCCCAGTTATGCAATCGGCTGCCTGGGGAGCTAGGAGAGAGGGAAAGAGGGAGCAGCTTGTGAGGGAGGGAGGGAGGGGGAGGGGCAGGGGGAGCAGGAGGGAGGGAAGGGGGGGGAAGGGCCACTAGATCTGGGACTCGCAAGGCCGGGCAGTTAGGCTTTAGGGTCCATTAGAGATGGGGGTGGGGGTTGATCAGCGAGGGCTGGCGAGAAGAGAGGGCCGCAACCATGCAATATGGAGGGGTCCAGGACCCCAGAATTCTCTCTCCAGGCACATCCAGGCTAGCAGGGGAGAGGGGAAGACAAGGGAGCAGGCAGAGGAGGTGAGCAGAGGAGGTGAGCAGAGGAGGTTACCGGTGGAGCTGGAGGTGCAGGCTGCTTGCTGGAGTAAGACAGGGGGTGGTAGGTAGCTGAGAGCCGCTGGAAAACTACCCAGGATCAATCTTACTTGCTGCTCAGAAAATTCTGTCAGGCACTGGCTGGTGGCTCACACCTATAATCCCAGACACTCAGGAGGCTGAGATCTGAGGGTCATGCATGGTTCGAAGTGAGCCCAGGCAGGAAAGTTTGTGAGACTCTTATCTCCAATCACACACACACACACACACACACACACACACACACACACACACACACACACACACACACACACACACACACACTCATGGAGCTGTGTCTCAAGTGGTAGAGTGCCAGCCTTGAGCATAAAAGCTCAGAGACAGCGCTCAGGCCCTGAGTTCAAGCCCCAGAACTGGCACCAACAAAACAAAAATTCTTTGGGTGGAGCAGGTGCTACAGGAAGTTGCTGTCGTGGGAAGAATCAGTAGGCATAGCTGTCCAGGCCAGACTGGACCAGCACAGAGGTTGTTACCCTGGGATAGAGTTCACATTCTGTCACAGCCCCCTCCCCGACCCTTTCTCTAGTGTTCAGAAGCCCCTCAGAGAAGATCAGTCTTGGCCTTAAGATTCCAGACTCATCAGATGCCAGTGGCTCACGCCTGACATCCTAGCTACTCAGGAGGCTGAGTCTGAGGATTGTGGTTCAAAGCCAGCCTGGGCAGGAAAATCCGTGAGACTCTTATCTCCAATGAGCCAGGAGAAAACCAGAAGTGGCGCTGTGGTTCAAAGTAGTAGAGCGCTAGCCTTGAACCAAAGAGCTGAGGGACAGAGCCCAGGCTCAGAGTTCAAGCCCCACAACTGACAAAAAAAAAAAAACCAAACAAACAAAAAGATTCCAGACTCAGGAATCAAAACTTTTTGGTTTCAATTCAAATCCTTAGTCTCCAGGCCTCAGTTTCCCCATCAGTAAGTATGGGTCATGGAATAGAGTCAACAGTGTCTCTCTAGTCCCTTTTGGATTTGGAGAATTTATTACTGATTTTTTTTTTTTAATGTACCAGTACTGGGGCTCGAACTCAGGGCCCAGCTGCTGTTCCTGAGCTTTTTTTTACTCAAGGCTGGCACTCTACCACTTGAGCCACACAGCTGCACTTCAGGCTTTTTGGTGGTTCATTGGAGATAAGAGTCTCATGGACTTTACTAGGCTGGCCTCGAATCGCAACCCTCAGCTCTCAGCCTCCTGAGTCACTAGGATGACAGGCATGAGCCCCCAGCGCCCAGCTTTGTGACTAATTTTAATGGCTCACTTTTCTCCCCGTCTCTTCCTTTCTGTGTATATAATTATTTCCCTGCACTCCAAGACAATCCCAAATTACATGTCGGGAAAATGATTATTAAATCTCAGAGAGAAATCACAGACTTCAAGGCATTCAAAGCCGAGAGGCAGGTAGTACAGGCCTATCACAGGCCTGCTTTCTGCACTGGGCCTTGAAACAAGACACCCCAGAAGGGCAGTACGTTTGCAGATTGATCCAAGGTCCCTGCAAGGAAGTCAGGGTCCCCTGGGCACAAAGCTTCCCTTCTGGTCCTTACTTCTGTCATTCAGCTAATCTGCCCTTCCTATCAGGTTTGCACACCAGTGCTTTAGGGGTTTGCTTGTTTCTTTTTATGCCAGCACTGGGGCTTGAATTCAGGGCTTAAGAACTGACCTTTCACTCAAGGCTGAAGTTTTACCGCCTGAGCCACACCTCAGGTGTGGCTTTTTGATCCTTAATTGGAGATAAGAGTCTCCAGGGCTTTCCTGCCTGGGTTGGCTTTAATCTGCAATCCTCAGAGCTCAGCTTCCTGAGTAGCTGAGATTACAGGCATGAGCCACCAGCCTCTGGCTTTCCACTTTGCTTTGTTGTTTTTGGTTTTTGTCTGACTCTCCTCCCCCTCTCTCCTGTTTCGGCCTCTCCCTAGGACTCTGGCTGGATCTGTCTCTGTCTGTCTGTCTGTCTCTCTCTTTCCCACCCTGATTCATGTGCTAAGACCAGGGGGTTTGTGAAGGCAGGGCTGCCAGCACAGAGGCAGAGGCCGGAGCAGGGAGCAGCCATCTCTTGTGCCAGCTACACCCTGAGTACATTTAACAAGCAACTCTGGGCCCAGGATGGATGGATTCTTTATTGCTTCCCAAATAGTGCTTGCTTTGTTCTTTTTCCAACAAGCCAGGATTAATCTCTGCTCCTCAGTGGACTGGAGAGGCAAGGAGAGAGGAGGAAGGGGAGGAAAGGAGGAAGGGGAAGATAGCTCGCAGCCACGGGGGACACCCACAGGAAAGGGGGAAACTGATCCAGGAGGCTTTGGGATGGCTGGCCCAGGCCCTCTCTCTGAGGGTGGCTGGCTGCTAATCTCTTTCCCCAAACAGCCTAGCTACAATGTCCCAGCCCCTCTATGGGACTCCTTACCTCATTCAAAGGAAGATGGAGCTCTGATCCCCAAGGCTGAGCCCCAGATCAGCAGCTGTGTTTGGGAGAGAAGGGTGTGTGAATGCTGGGATACAAGCCTGAACAGCAGCATGCCTTTCCCCTAAAGAATGAAGGAGTGGGAAATGGACCTTTTTTTTTTGGGGGGGGGGAAAGGGGGAGAATAGGAGTTCTGGTCCTGGAGCTTGAACTCAGGGCCTGGGAGCTATCCCTGAGGGTTGTTTGTTTTTGTTTTTTTTTTTGCTCAGGGCTGGTGTTCTACCACTTGAGCCAGAACCTCACTTGCAGCTTTTTGCTGGTTCATTGGAGATAAGAAACTCACAGATTTTCCTGCCCAGGCTGTGTTGGAACTGTGATCCTCAGATCTCAGCCTAAGATGACAGACTCGACCTACTGCCATCAGGCGGTAATTGTGCTTTGAGAATGGCCAGGCCATGCTCTGTTTAGCTTCCTAGAGGAAGTGAATGAACCAGTCACCATCTTGCTGGGTTCCAGCCAGGGGAGAAGGCCAGGGAGGGGTAGGCACCCCCACACCTAGGTGATACCAGACCCCTCTCCAGCCCCTCTTACCCCCTCTGCCCTTTCCCCTCCAGGTGGTGAGCCAGATCGACAAGCTGACCTCAGACTTCGACTTCGAACTGGAGCCGGATGAATGGACCACAGCCACCGTGAGCAGCACGTCCAGCAGCGACAAGGCGGGCGTGGGGGGCCCCTTCGACTTCATGACAGCCGACATCCTCTCGGACAGCTGGGAGTTCTGCTCCTTCCTGGACATCTCCACGCCGCCGCCCGACTCAGCCGACTGCCCCGAGTCATCTCGGCCCGGCACGGGGCCTGACTATCGTCTTATGAACGGCAGCACCCCTATTGCCAATGGGCCACGCGTGGAGACCCCGGACTCTTCGAGTGAGGAGGCCTTCAACGCTGGCCCTGGGAAAGGCCCGATGCCACAGCGGACCCCGGGCACGCGGGAAAGGGTGCGATTCAGTGACAAAGTGCTCTACCACGCCCTGTGCTGCGATGATGAAGAAGGGGATGGGGAGGATGGGGTACAGGAGGAGGAGGAGGGGGTGCTGCCGCCTGAGCTGTCTCACGCAGAGCCCCACACGGCCCCCCTTAAGCCCTCCTCAGCCCCCCACAAAAACAGACGCTCTCCACTGACAGGCCGCCGTCCAGGCCCCTCATTGGCTTCGGAACAGACTCGAAGGGTCACGAGGAACAGTAGCACACAGACCGTGGCAGACAAAGGCACACAGACAATGCTGCCCTACACAGCCTCCAGGCAAAAAGCCAGGGGCAAGAACTAGGGGAGGGGAGGGGATGGAGGGCATCTAGAGCTATAAATATAAATATATATTATATATATTTAAACAAACACAGGCATAATAAAATTTATAAACACTCAGGATCCAACCCCATGGAACCCACCAGAAGCTCGTAGAGATCCCAGATGCAGGGACAGGAGTCAGTCCAGTTCTGGGAGCCGAGGCCAGAGATGCCCGCTTGCCCAGCCTCCCTCCTCCTGGCCAAGTTTCTTTCCTTTTTTGTGCCTGTGCTTGAACTCAAGGCCTCACACTCAAGGTTGGTGCTCTACCATTTGAGTTACAGCCCCACTTCTGGCTTTGTTTTGCTGATTCATTGGAGATAAAAGGCTCATGGACTTTCCTGCCTAAGCTGGCTTTGAACCATGATCCTCAGATCTCAGCCTCCTGAGTAGCTGGGATGACAGGCTTGAGTTGCTGGCATGTCTGGTGGGCCAAGCTACTAAAGGGAACTAGACCCTCCTGACAGTCCCCAGAACTGTGGTGATTTGTGGTAGCTCACCCAGCTCTCTCCTGGAAGGGGTGCATCAGTAAGGCTCAGTCGGGAAACTGAGGACTCAAGGGACCACAGGACTGGGTTCCAGACTTGACAGTACTTTGACTTGGATGTGGATAACTTGTGTTGTTGTTGGTGGTTGTGGGGCTTGAACTCTGGGCCTGGGCACTTGTCCCTGAGCTCTTCAGCTCAAGGCTAGTGCTCTACCACTTGAGCCACAGCACCACTTCCTGTTTTCTGGTGGTTAAGTAGAGCTAAGAGTCTCAAGGACTTTCCTGCCTGGACTGGCTTTGAACCCTGATCCCCAGATCTCAGCCTCCTTAGTAGCTGGGATTACAGGTGTGAGCCACCGGTGCTCGACATGCAGATCACTTTTACTCCCATACTTCCACTCCAAAGTAGACTTTGGCTCTAATGGAAAGTCAGCCATAACCCCAGCATTTGGGGGGGGGTCTCTGAGACCAAGAAATGGGGAGCAGCCCCAGAGCAGCTCCTTGTCTGGGTGACAGTGGCAACCATTGTTCACATTCTGAGCAGGCCCCTATGGCAAATACATTTCATATAGCCTCATCTCATTATCCCCTCAGTCACTCAACAACAGGGCAACTATGGTGAACCCAGAGGTCACAGAGGCAATGAAGCAAGTGTTCTCCATATTTGTACCCAGCTCTGCTGTCCAAGTATCTGAACAACATTTGGGTGAGTCCTACCTGAGTGGGAAAGCAGTTGGGTTAAAGGCCCTCCATGTGGCTCTGGCCATGGGGGCCCCCACCTACATTTCCCATGATTCCCAGGGGGCAGGCACAGGGTGGGGGTGGGGGGGCCACACTGGTGTCACAAGCACCATATTGCTTTATGGAAGCAGTTCGAAGCCCAGAGAAGGATAAAGATTCGATGTCCCCAGGCTTTGGGCAGGGAGAGGCTGTGGGTAGAAAAACTCGTCAGGGGGCTGGGAAGGTGGCTCAGTGGTAAAGCGCTAGCCTTGAGCTGAAGAGCTGAGGGACAGCGCCCAGGCCCAGAGTTCAGTCCCCACAACCTGACCCCCCCACCCAAAAATAAAAGAAAAACTCGCTGGGTGTTGATAGCTCACACCTGTAATCCTAGCTATGCAGGTGGCTGAGATCTGAGGATTGCAGTTCAAAGCCAGCTAGGACAGGAAAGTCTATTAATTTCCAATTGGCCACCAGAAAACTGGAAGTGGGGCTGTGGCTCAAAGTGGTAGAGCACTAGCCTTGAGCAAAAAGAGCTCAAGGACAGTGCCTAGGTCCTGAGTTCAAGCCCCAGGACTGACAAGAAAGAAAGAAAGAAAGAAAGAAAAATAGGGAGGGAAAGAGGGAGGGAGAAAGAAAATCTAAATCACCCATTGCAGGCTCATACTTGTAATCTTAGCTACTCAGGAGTCTGAGTTCTGAGGATCTGCCAGCCCAGGCAAAAAAGTCTGTGACACTTATCTCCACTAAACTTTCAAAAACAAAAAAAGCCAGAAGTGGAGCTGTGATTCAAGTGGTAAAGTGCTAGCCTTGAGCTGAAAAGCTTAGGGACAGCATCCAGGTCCTGAGTTCAAGCCCCATGATAAAAAGAAAGAAAGGAAGGAAGGAAGGAATAAAGGGAAGGAAGGAAGGAAGGAAGGAAGGGAGGGAGGGAGGGAGGGAGGAAGGGAGGAAGGAAGGGAGGAAGGAAGGGAAAAAAGAAAACTCACCCCCAGAGCCTCCCTCTGATATTTTTCACAAAAGGCAGATTCACAGCCCACCAGGGCTATGGGGAGTGGGCCCTGACATCCTGCCTTACCTTTGGACAGAACAGAGTGGGGACAAGAACCTGGATTTGGACCTGGGAGGACCATGCTCCGCACCACCCCGGGCACCTGTGAGACCCCAGCCCACTGGCTGTGGAGTCAGATCAAGAGGAGGCCCAACAGATTTAGGGCATCACGGTAAGCTCAGAGCCAAGCCGAGGTTCAAATGCTAGAGTGGATTCCCCAGGGTGTGGTCACACAAAGAACTGAGAACTGGGGAAGGCTGAGCCTCCCTGAAGGCCTGGGAACTCTATGGGAAGCGCATGCGTGGGAGCCGCAGGACCTTGGCTCATCCCAGGAGGGCCAGCGGCTCCCTGGGGTGGCAGGTGGACCCTCCAGGTTCTGCTCTGCCAGTGGAGATGGAATCAGTTTCCCCTCGGTGTCTTGGATCTCCTTTCCAGTGCAAGATTTATGTAGGCTACTTAAGAGGCAGGTTCGAAACCAGCCCTGGCAGGAAAGTCCTTGAGACTCTTATCTCCAAGGAACCACCAAAAAGCCCAACGTGGCGCTGTGGCTCAAGGGATTGAATGCTAGCTTTGAGCTAAAAAAGCTCAGGGACAGAGCCCAGGCCTTGAGTTCAAGCCCCAGAACAGGCACCGAATCCAAAACAAAAAACAGGCATATATGTAGAGTCTCTAACCTTTACAACAGTCACAGCCAGGGAAAAGAATCCTGGAGAATATTCTATCTCACCAAGAGAAGACACTGACAGAAGCCAACACAGGAGGATCTGAGAGAGCACTGGGAAAGGAGTCCCGGCCTCCACACAGCTCTGTGGGACCCTGTAGATGGTATCTGTTCATTTGCCAGATGGGGTAGTGGTGTGTGTGTGTGTGTGTGTGTGTGTGTGTGTGTGTGTGTGCGTGTGTGTGTGTGTGTGTGTGTGCACACTCCAGTACTGGGACCTGAACTCAGGGCCTCACTCTCACTTGGCTTTTTCACGCTATGCTGGCACGCTATCACTTGAGCCACATCTCCACGTCTAGCTTTTTGCTGGTTAATTAGAGCTAAGAGTCTCACTGACTTTCCTGCCCAGGCTGGTTTCAAACCATGATCCTCAAGTCTCAGCCTCCTACGTAGCTAGGATGACAGGCACCAGCCAATGGTGGCAAACAAGGAATCATAACTTTCTTTTTTTCTTTTCTTTCTTTCTTTTTTTTTGCTGGTTTTAGGGCTTGAACTCAGGGCCTGAGCACTGTTCCTGAGCCTCTTTGTGCTCAAGGCTAGAGCTCTACCACTTGGAAATAAGCATCTCCTGGACTTTCCTGCCCAGGCTGGCTTTGAACCTCGATTCTCAGATTTCAGTCTCCTGAGTAGCTAGGGTGACAGGTGTGAGCCACTGGTGCCCAGCTTCGAATCCCATCTTTTAACTCACATTAAAGGACAGATTTAGGGGTCCCAGCATAGAATTGGTTGCTCCTTCATTATTTCTTGAAAAACCAAAGGGATTAATAGCGCTGTGTGTTGTACAAGTCAATGGAACAGACATGGGCAGATGAGGGCACTGTTCAAAGTCACAAAGCAGAAACTAGCACAGCTGAAGCCTTGACCTTACTAAGAGTACTTAATGGTCCATGAGAGCTGGGAGTTACTGAATGCCAGTGATGGCTTCCTCTCTCCCCCAGGAACCCAGCCCCTAGTTCCCAGTGAGCCCAGCAGAGATGGCTGGCAGAATGCCAGCTCCTTTCTCCTTCTCTTACCTCTGGTCCACCTGCCTTGCTCAGTAAGAGTGAGCCTTTCTTGTCTGGGCTTTACCAGGCTCTGAGGTAGGGAAGAGAAAGTAGCTCAGAGAGGCTTCCTGGAGGAGGAGGAATCTGAAGCAAACCTTCCTTTAGAATGGAGGTTAAGTGGGAACAAAAGGCACTTTCAAAGATGACCAGGTAGCAGTGGCTCACGCCTGAAATGCTAGCTACTCAGGAGCCTGAGATCTGAGAGGTGAAGTTTGAAGACATCCTGGACAAGAAGAGTCCATGAGATTCTCCAATTAACCAGCAAACAGCTGGGAATGGAGGTGTGGCTCATGTGGTTAGCACCCACATCTAGTGGAAAAAAAGAAAAGAAAAAAAAAGCTCAGCCAGGAGCTGGTGGCTCACGCCTGTCATTCTAGCTACTCAGGAGGCTGAGATCTGAGGATTGAGGTTCAAAGCCAGCCCAGGCAAGAAAGTCCATGAGACTCTTATCTCCAATGAACCACCAGAAAACCGGAAGTGGTGCTGTGGCTCAAGTGGTAGAGCGCTAGCTCTTCAGCTGAGGGATAGCGCCCAGGCACAGAGTTCAAGACACACGACTGACCAAAAAAAAAAAAAAAAGCTCAGGAACAGCACTTAGGCCCTGAGTTCAAACCTCTGTCACAGTAAGCAAACACAAGAAGTCCTACCCACAGCATCTCCCCACAGCCCCAAGGCTTACCTGGGGTTCTGATGCCAGCTGCTTGTCCTGAGCCTCAACAAAGCTGTTACGCCCCTCCCCACTCCACCAGTCCCCAGTAAGCCTCCAGAGATGGGGGGCGGGGCTGGGTGGATGGCCTCGGGCTAAGCCAGGCTGTCTGATGATCAGATCTGACTACCTGCCAGGAGCATCTCTGCTCACACCTGCGTACAGCTCTGCTTCTCTTCCCGCTGGGCTGAGTTGGCTTAGAATCCACCCCCCCTCCTTGTCCCCACCTACCTCTGCGTTCTGCATTACCATCTCTAC